GAGAAAGATCTCTCTGTTAGTATCTACAAAGTATGGAAAGTGGGAAATTGAAATGAGGGGAGAAAGAAAGAAGGCAGGGTACTCACCTAGACAGGAGAGAAAGATCTCTGCTGTCTAGGTGAAGGGGAAGTGCAAGACTAAATACAAGGCGGAACTAAGCTTATGTAATCTAGTTAGAGATGGGCCCGGCGCATCCGGATATCCGTTCGGATTCAGATATCCCCTCACTTTTTCAGCCAAATCAGACATCCACATCCACATCCGCATCCCCTGGCGGATACCCGCTGGCCCTGGCGGGTATCCGCGCGGATACCCGCGGATATCCGCCCCAAAAATGACCCCCAGGCTGCAAAATGAAAGTTTCTTGGGGAAATTTCAGATGCAGAAAGCTGCATAAACACTGATTTTGAATTTCTTGCGGCCATCAAGCCTTCAATTTATTTTTATTTTTTTTTTTTTTCCTTTGCTGCTTGCAGCCTGTGACCCTCCCAAAAATATGGAAAAAATCTAATTCCTTTTTCCTTTGCAATTTTTTTTTGTTTCTTGCAGCTAACTCATGTAAATTTTTACAGGATTAAATTTCATTATTTTTTGAAAATGGATGGTTATATCAACTTTGCATACAAATAAAACTGGTATACGGTACAAATTATCATAATTTGTATAATTTAATTGTGTAATAAATGGGGTACACTCATATATTAAGATTGAAGCTTTCATTTCTTGTCAAAATAAATGATACCATAAGCTTTGACACTACTCAAAGTGTAGTAAATAATTTCAAAATTTCAAAAAATGATGGAAATTAAGCTGGCAAAATTAATTAAAATTAATTAAGGGAAAAAATTTACTATGTCAAAAAATAATGAAAATTAATTATTAATCTGTCAAAAATTAATTTAAAAAATGTGTCTAATTGCATTATTAAAAAAGAACCATTAATTTTTATGTAAAATGCTTTTTACCATTAAGTTCTACACACTTTAAAACATAAGAAATAAATTTAAAATTTCAAAAAATAATAAAAAACAAGCAGTAAAAAATTAATTAAAAAATGTGTCTGCTGCACAGTGCGCGCAGCAAAAACCATGTTTTTTTGTTAAGGCCCCATTTTTTCTTTTATTTTTCCTTTTTTCCATTTTTTCTTTTGTTTCTCACAGCCTGTGGCCCTCCCAAGGCCTCCTGTATGGGCGGATATCCCTTGGGATACCCGGATATCCGCCAGGATTCCAGGGGGAAGGGGGCATCCGCACCCGAATCCGCACCCGCTGGCGGGTATCCGTTGGCACTGGCGGGTATCCGCCAGCGGATAACGGATATCCGCAACGGATTATCTGCGACCATCTCTAAATCTAGTGACATGTTTGTGTAAGTCATGAGGAGCAGGGCTTACAAGAATGTAACCCCCTTGGGTTACATAATAATAACTATTATTATATGTATTCTTTAAGATAATAAGTATCTATTATTGTTATTCTTTAAATTATGAGTGATGTGCCTTGGTACACACCGTGTTTCCAAGAAAGCTTTGATCATTTTGCTTTTTGAATTTTTTGTAATCCTTTGACTTTGATTTCACAAATCCCATATTTTCATTTTCTCAGTCAAGTTTTATCTTGACAAATTTCAGATAACACCCGGGGATAAAACCACCTCCAGAGCCATGTTGCTCCAGTAGATGCTCTTGGAGGAGAATTAACAAAAAACAAGGTTCATTTTTGGAACCAGAGCAGTTTGTAGGTCCAACAAGCTGCTCACTGGGACCACCAGTCACTCCATTCTGCCCCATCAGTGGTGCCAAACAAGCACTGGACCATCACATGAGCTGAGAAGAAAGTTGAAATCCCTGGGACACCTGAGGCAGAGACATATTTGAAAGTAATAAAGCAGAAAAGGTCAATACATAAATTGCAGCAAAAAAAGCAGAATTGAGTCCAAGCCTTTTGGAAAACACAATAGTTATTTCTCTCTTGATAATTGACGTACCTCTTTCATGAAAATAATAAAAAATTACAAAGGATAACTATCCCTTGTGTTTATCCAATTTATGGTTATCCTGTGTATCTTTCTTGTGCATCTCTCTTGCTTATATTCTGAAATAAAAGCATTATTCTGCATATGTAATTGTATCTTCTGAAATAAGATAGATATTCAACACATGTACATTTAACCTGTTTCAATATCTTGAAACCTTCCCCCAAAGGAATAGTTTTACAATAAGGGGACTGCACCAGTCCCAGCCACAGTTTGAACCCTGCTCTGTAATATTTAAGGGGATGAATCTTTCCCTGAGATTCATCCCCCAGACAATGAATACCATACAAACCCACCAAACTTACTAAAATATATCAATTAGTGAGTGGGGTTTCCAAGTAGTATATTATCCAATTACTGTTGTACATATCTCTTTATCCATGAGACTAGTACAACCTTATTCATCTCACATTTTAAAAAACTCAGGCACTGTGATGCTCATTCCAAAGTTGTCCCTTATTATTAAAAGGAGCTAGCACCTCCACTTTTTAAATGTTGAGAAGAGGCTTATTTCCACTGGCCACTCCTTTGGCTATAGTGTGACCTTATACCTCATCAACTCTTGGTCACATAAGAGACCAGATCTGACACACAGAGTCAATTATTCATATGCTTACATGTCCCTGCAGCTAAATAAGGGCTTTGCACTCTTCCCACTTTGTGGTTAGGCACACAAGTTCCTGGGCTACTAAATTTACACTGTTAACTTAAAGAGTGAAAAACTGCTCATCTACCACAGCTTGAAGCATTAACCAGGGAGAAAAATTGGGATAAGAAACAGAACTACAAACTTGTGTAATTTTTCAACAATTGTAGATGTGTGCACTCATAATTATATCAAAGTTTATTGCCGCTTCCAAAGGGATTGTATTGTTTAAAACCCCAGCAGGATTGACTGGAGGTGACCAATATAAGATTTGTCTTCTGGACCAAAATTATATTGGCTGGGCTCACTGATGTCTTATCATTTATCCTTTGTTGAAACGTGTTGGTGCCAGTGGGCCCAACTGATATAGAATTGGTCCAGAAGACTGATCTTATATTGGTTGCCTCTGGTTGACCTTGCTGCGTGGTGTTTCAACACAACCCCTTTTGCAGTGTGCACATGAGATTTTGAATTTTAGCCTGTGACACACTGTATAGCAGCTCTACAGCCTGCAAGTAAGGCTGTAACTGGTTTGGGGAAACCCACAGGTTTCCTGGACATTCCCTGGGTTTGGGATGTATTTTGGAAATATTTAAAAGCCAAATGACCAGCACTGGGATAATCTTCTACCCTGAAATTTTTGACCAAAAGGCTTTAAAAAAGGAGAACCCTTTTTCCCAAGATGTGTAGTGTTATCAAATTTTGGGGGTTAGTTTCACAACTCCCAGAATTTCTTTGACCACTCCCAACAACCATTGATGGACATATTTTGGGAGTCATTCCTCCAAATGGATGGCCAGCTTTGAATGTTGGCCATCAATTTTTTTTTCTGGGAGTTGACTCGCCAAACCACCCTGCATGCTTGGGGGGGGGGGGGGGCTTGGGAGTGGCTCCCAATTGAACAGAAGGGGTTCCTTCCAGTCAATGAGGGCCTTATATCTCATTGACCAGAAGGGGTTCCTTCCGGTCAATGAGGGCCTTATATCGCATTGACCAGAAGGGGTTTCTTCCGGTCAATGAGGTCCTTATTGCTCATTGACTGGAAGTAACCCCTTCTGGTTGATGATGTCCTTATACCTCATTGACTGGAAGGAACCCCTTCCAGTTCATGAGGTCCTTATACCTCATTGACTGGAAGGAACCCCTTTGAGTCAATGAGGCTCTTATACCTCATTAACAGGAAGGAATCCCTTCTGGTCAATGAGGTCTTTATACCTCATTCACAGGAAGGAAATCTTGCATTCTATTCACCAAGATCAATCAGTAAAGCTATTCAATACCATACTCAATATCAAACCCACATTCAACAAATGAGAACAGTTAAAACTTGAAGCAATCTAGTCCCCATTTTTTATTTTCTTTAGTCAAGCAATTACATCCAAACTCAAGAGAAGAAAAATGGTAGATCAATCAGCTCAAATCTCATCTCAAGATTGGTGGTAGAAGAGGAAAACTAATGGATCCTTTTTATCGTATTTTGTTTCCTTTTAGTTCTTCTCTTTCATTGACTCATCACCATTGTATGGAGGTACTGAACCGCCACTTTGGCCAAAAAATTAAAAAAAAAAAAAAAAAACGAATTCATCAGCCAATTTGGCCATACAGGATGACACTGGTCATCAATGGGAGGACACACTTCCATCAAGGACTGGTCTAAACCGGTCCTTGATGGGAGTAACCCCCCCCCCCTAAACACCCCCAGTGATGACCGGTCAAAACCAGTCATTGATGGGAGTAACCCCCCCCCCCCCAAACACCCCCATGGATGACTGGTTTTGACCGGTCATCAATGGGAGTAAACACCCCCATTGATGACCGGTTTTGACTGTTCATCGATGGATTAAAAACCCCAATTGATGACCAGTCAATGAGGTCCTTATACCCCATCTTCCAGAAGGAATTGTGCACTGAAGCCACAAAATTCTACTAACCAGTGCTACAGTGCAGTTCAACAAGTAGTTATCTGGGGCCTTTGCACTTAGTGGAAAGAATGCCACTGATGGTCAGCAGAAAGCTGCTATGCTCTGCTATGCTCCGCTAACACAACAATGAGTGTAGCTGGGCCACCCTTGAATTGACCCAAGGAGGGTTGTGTTTGGGAAGAACACTATGGCAATGGGAAGAAACACTGTGAAAGTATTTTGTGATGACCTGATCTGTTTTTCCACACATACCATCAAGGCTGTTGAAATTCTGCTCCTGTGGTCTATGTATGTTTTGTGATTGGCTACAGTTTCGGAGTGGTCAGATCGGCGTCCATCCGACCAACACCGTTTGGGATATCTCGGCTCTCGGTGCATGCGATCGTGTACATATTGCCATTCCCGAGGGCTGACTCATTGACCGGGGGACACCCGCTTTCTTCCGGCCCTCCGGGAACCTCCCCCGTGCTGGATAGACCCACAAGCAGATATCCACCACTGCACTCCCTCCCTCTGCACTCAGACCTGCCTTCTTCCATCCATCTGACATCAAGCCACATCCATCACTCAACTCACTCCAACACCTTTATAAACACTCTAATCTCATCATGGGCAAGAAAGGTCATTCACGACAACGAGGCTTTCTGTCTCGATTTCGTTACTGCCCCCACTGCGCTCCTTTCGCTAACACATACGCTTTCTTCTTCTGCATCTCCATCTAGATTCCGGAGGCGAAGGCGACCCAGCTATCGGCGGCAAACTCTTCGGACAACGATGTGCTACATGTCACACCGTCGAGAAAGGCGCTCCTCACAAAGTAAGCATCGACACCTCGATCATCGTTTCCCTTTCTTCTTATCGATCAACTATCATTGCTAATTATTTCTCCTACTCACTCGGTCACCTATTCTTACTCAACAAGGTCGGACCCAACCTACATGGTCTTTTGTGAGTTTTTTTTTTTTTTTTTCTTGCCGATTTCCTCATTGCCTTGTTTGTGGGTAAAGGGGGGAGGCGGCTTTCTGACCTACTCGTCTGGGATGTTTCTTTTTCAGCGGTCGTAAGACCGGACAAGCCGCCGGTTACAACTACACAGAAGCCAATGTCAAGAAGGGAATCACATGGTCCGAAGAGACTCTTATGGAGTACCTGATCGACCCCAAGAAAGTAAGCCGACTTGCATCCCCCCCCTCCTCCTCTCCTGACCTGAACGGAGAGCTGGTCGCTCATCCAAGGTGAACCGTTCCTATTATGATCACAGTACATTCCTGGAACCAAGATGGCTTTCGCTGGCTTGAAGAAGGAGAAAGAACGTAAGTCATCACCCCATCTTGCCAAACAAAACACAAGCACGGGTCTGACGCAATTTTTTCGTGATCGATAGGTGCCAACATCGTTGCGTACTTGAAGGACGCCACCAAATAAGATCGACGATGACTTCCTGTCACTCGTCCCACATAGACGCACTGAATCTCATTGGCCACATAAAAGGTCCAGTGCTTACACACCTTGCTGCTTCATTGTAGCATACTCATTCGTAGTCAATCCCCTCTTGTTTCTTGCCTTAAGTCCCTTTTTCCCCCTTTCTTTATCGTGAAAGAACCTTTCTTCCTTCACCCTTTGTCACTCTACCGAGCTTCCGGATACATAGAAATTGAAATCATCCCCACTCAGACTCCTTTAATCCACTTTCTTCTTGCGCGTCTTTTGAGCGGTGCCTGGAATACATTGGCTTGGGAAATCATAGTAACCGGATCTTCTTTGTCCCAGTTTGTCTCTTGCCTCCAACTCTGCATACTTGTTTTTATCTGCCAGATTGTGGGACTGTGCCCAAGTCGGCCACATTTGTTGACTGAAACACGCAACTAGTGCATGTCACATGTTTGGGCATACAGATTGTGAAATCTATTCACACTACTGTAGCAGGGGTCGTCTGGATACAGAACCTCGGATTGTCGCATGAGCCTTTAACCAAGAAGTCATGGTACCGATTGAAAGTCCATTGATGAGCATCAGATAGTCCAAGATTGAGGATTACGCAAGCTACATGTGTTCCGGAAGAGAAAACAAGAAACTCAAACGGACTGATGCACAAATTTGGGCTCGCAGAAATTCTGCTCCGATGGTTATCTGAATTGCCATGAACCAAGCCGACCATCTTGTTTCTGTTTTGTGTTGGATCAAATCTTGAGTCCAAAAAATGAGCTGAAGGAAGAGTCAAACTAAACTACCAGACCTATTTAGTTAGATGTATACAGTATGAATCTGTAGTATGTGTGCATGGAGTGTTTTTTAAATAAATAAATGGGTTCTGAAAATTGCGATAAGAAGGACGACACAGTTCATCATACAAAGAGGGAAGACTGACATTGGAAACCAAACTCTACTCAAGTAAGCACAAGCAAACAAAGAAAGAAAGAAAAGAAAAAAAACTAATAAGAGTTCATTAAGATATCACGAATCCAAGGATTTTGTTCTAATTGGGGCAAGAAAGACTGGAAAGACTCTTTAAGACACTTGAGCTTAGAGTCCAATTTAAGTTGATCGTCATCGAGATCCATCTGATCGGGAGAAGTCTTCATACGTTGGTCTTGATCGATCCATTTCTCGAGCATCTGTCGGACCAAGCCTGTGCCTTCTTCCACTTCTTCCTGCGTCGGCGCTTTCGTCTTCTTCTTCTTCTTCTCAGAATCCTCAACTTCCTCTTCCCCGAAATATTCTAGCTCTTCGGCTTTCCTTCTAGCAAGCTGTTAGCTCGAGATAGGATGTCCAAAGAAAGGGAGAGAAGAACATATGTTGTTCAGTTTATTGCGCTTTGGAGGGATCATCTTCATCCAAGAATTGACCCCAGTTTCTGGTCTAGGGAAGCGAAAAAGAAGAAGGAATTTGACTGACTTTCAGCACATCTTCAGGAAAGTTGGCCATCTCAGCGACGTGAATACCGAACGATTGATCACTGAATCCGGGCTCGACTTTGTACAAGAGGGTGATATCTGAGGAAGAGACCCCAGCAGCGGATTTCTTTTCGACATGGGCTACCACATGGTAATTCTTGACATGCTCGACTTGTTTATCTAAAGTTGTGAGCTCGTGAAAGTGAGTAGCAAATAATGTGAACGCCTTGATTTCAACCGCGATGTGTCTATTCCCCCCCGCCCCACCTCAGTTTTAGTTTATTGAAAGTCCAAGACACATTTATACAGACAAGTGGTGGGAAGGACTTACTCCGAAATGGCCCAAGCCAGTCCGAATCCATCATAAGTCGATGTACCTCGTCCAAGCTCATCAATGATTATCAGAGAGTTAGGGGTAGCAGACTAAAAAGAACAGCAAGCCCAACTGAATGAGAATCACTCGGCTTGTTATAAGCAATTGTTGGGGGTGGAGATGAGACTGACCTTGAGTATGACAGCAGTCTCGAGCATTTCAGCCATGAAGGTTGAGATGCCTTTAGTTTGACTATCGCCGGCCCCGACCCGAGCCAGGATAGAGTCAAAGACCGGCAAGCTAGCCTCCGCACACGGCACATAGCAGCCCAATTGGGCCATCAACGCAGCCACGCCTATCTGTCGAATGTAAGTACTCTTGCCTCCCATGTTCGGCCCAGTGATGATGTGGAAAGAACTCCTCTCCCGCTCCATCAAGGTGTCATTCGGGATGAAGTTGATGTCGTCTTGGACTTCCAGGCATGGATGTCGACACCCCTTCAAGCAAACATCCCCTTCACCTGCATTGATAATTTACTCCTTGGTCATCCCACTCGGCTTTCATAATCTTAGATCTTCGATTACACCACTCACCTAGAGCATACATTTTCGGGCATGTATATGTCATCGGTGCGTTAAGAGACACATGTGCAAAACTGACAATCAAGTCGAGGTGCGCGATAATCTCGTTCAATTTCTCGAGTATAGGGCAATAGGATGCTAAGGATATCATGTCAATTCAACTTCATCAGCTCACGTGATCGAGAACTTTCTCCAAGTAGATCATAGCCAAATTGGTTGACTTACCGGCAATGCTAACGACTTCCTTGACCAATGAGCTTTGTTTACGTTGATATTTTTGCGTCAAATCTTTGAGTTCGTTGTTCAACTCCTTGAGGGTTTTAGTCGTGAAATGGCACCCATTATTCCGATTACTCAGTTCGATGTAAGTCTTTTTTGATCGAATGACTCCGGCTTCCTGAGAACACCAAGAGTTACCACATATATTAACATGTCAGAATAGCAAGAGAGATTTAAATGGATCACATAATAAAATAAGGTTCAAATACCTTTCTAGTCAGTCGGAAAACGTAACCGTACACTTGATGGTTTTCGAAATGGAGAACTTTGCTGTCAGTTCCCATTCCAAGATCTTGAGCCACCCGCAGATGCTCCTCATCCAACTGTTCTCGGTTTTGATCAAGGGCGTTCTTGAGCTCTCGTAAGTCGTCATCGAAGTCAGGCTTGATGATAAACTGATGGTTCTCCAATTCATCCAAATCAACCGTTGTCTCAACCATCTCGACATACTGAGCCAGATTAGTGACGCATTCCTGTACAAACTCATGGTCAGTAGTCTTAATTCAAACGGTGTCAATTATATGTTACATACCTGGAACGGTAAACGGTAAATCACATTCAAGAGCTCTTTAGCTTCTTCGCTATTACCAGTTTCAAAGCCATCAGCTTTATCCAACGCCTCCAAAATTTCAGGGAGCTTGACAACAGCCTGATACACCCGAACCACGTCTTCTAGTGATCCTGCGCCTTGGATGAATCTTTTCGAGATACGAGTCAAGTCGGGCATGGCTTTCAAATGGTCATCTTGTAGAGTCTGACGAAGTAAGCCATCCTGAAACATGATCCCTACTAAGGTTTGTCGCTGTTCGATTTCATGAAGGTTGACGAGTGGCTGCTTCAACCATCGACCCAATAGTCTCGTTCCTTGCCCGGTCTTGCATCGATTCAGAAGCCCAAACAGACTCATGTTCTTTCCCCCACCGCCGATACTTGTTGGATTTGGAAACAGGTGGAGTGCCCGGACTGCTGAGGCGTCCAAGCGCATGAATTGGCCAAGGTCATGGGTGATAAATTTGTAGGCCGAATGATTAGATGGGTCATCCAAAATTGCCAAATAATTTAGCAGAGGATTGAGGGCTGCTAGGGCTGTCTTCATTTCGAATTGAGCTAGCAAGGTCGGTATAGAGAAAACAACCCTGTATTAATTTTGAGATGGACCAAAAACGGGCTTGTTTATCTCGAATGAAATGCTCACGAAGTGCAGCTAGCTGCCGATCACCGCTGAGGAGTCTGTTGATATCCTGTTCGACATTCTTAAGAGTGAATTCTGCCCTCTTCCGCTCAGTAACAACGACCCCACACCTCTCCAAGACTTCGATCAATTGTTGGTATTCGGTATTCTGACTAGAATCGCTAGTGTTTTTGGTCGAGGTTGGGGTTGCAATGATGGCCTCCTTGATGCCTAACTGAATGATCAAACTTTCAGTGTTCCCCCAACCGTCTTCCTGTTCGGGGAATTCGCTCAAGCCCAGCGTCCGAACACTGGTATCTGCAAAGGCGACGCCCATTATTCTACCTGAGGCAGATCCTGAATTTCCTTTGACCCATAGACTAGCGATCACAGGCGAGCTTAAGATGTCGGTATTTGAAAACAGGAGATCGGCTAATGGCTCGAGGTTTCCGGGAGAGGCTTGGACGGCCAACGACCAGCTGGATGAACTCTTTGACGAAGGTTGATCTGATCGGTAAATCTGAATTCTCATTTGCCGAGAGGTGAGACACTCCCTCAAGAATGTGATGGCTCCCGTCCTGGACAATGAACACGATGGTAGCCCCGGTTCCCCGTTCGTCTTGGGTCCAATGAAGCCTGATCGATCCTCTGTTCAACGACTGCAGGATGGAATCTGAAGGGGGGAAAAGGTTATAATCGGCTCACGAAGGACAGTGTTGGTACGATAGAACTGCGTTGCCACATATTGGGCATCTGGACCGTAACACGTGTAAAATTCACCCTTCTCGCGTTCGAAAATCCTCAGGGTTCCTTTAGGACACTTCAAAAAAAAAAAAAAAGGAATGCACTGTTAGCTTCAAGGCGTTACTGCCAGCTAGAAAGTCGGCTAAAGTTTGATTACACAGCTGGTGATGGTGAAAAAGATGTACTGACGGGTTCCAGGTTCTTGAACGTCTCACAAAACTTTTTGCTCGCCGTTTGATCTGAGAATATTCCATTGAGAATCAAATACGTGTTTCAGTCTCCGATGAGCTTGTCTAACCGCGTCGAATCTAATGTCCACGAACCTTCGTTAACCTCTGGGGCCTTGGTGGGGTACATCGGAGTGGTCATGGTGAGACTTGCAAGTCGTTCCGAGAGATCTTGAAGCTGTTGGTATTCCGAGGAAGTTCCCGACAGGCTGTGGAAAAATGTTGCTCTGTTGACCAGTCCCCACAAGGTACAAGTTGAAAACAATTGACTGCAACTGCCAAACTCATCCAACACCCAGCAAGCAAGATTAAAGCAAATACAACATTCTACCCATCATCCTGGATGATATCAGAATCATCCTCAAGACCGTCACAGTTTTCCAACACAAACCAAAGCAGCATCACATGAACTCAAGATCAAGCAATGCCAATAACAATCAGGACATCATCGAGACGGTTCGAGTATTGCCACAAAGAATCATTCCATCTGGGAAATCTGGCATGAGGTGTAGCACTTCACACCAAAGATTCCTGCTTAAAATTGGTGCAAGGTTTACTAGATGGTCAAGAGTTATGTATTTAGAGACACAACAGATCAACAAGGGAGGTCCCTTCTTGCAAAGAGGTACCACTTGTACCTTTTTTCCCAAGCAGAAATCATACTGACTCAACTGTTGATTGAAAAATCTTCAAAAAAAGAAACATCTTATAATTGAAAAACAAAGCTTTTTCTTGATTTGTATCAAATTCCCACTTAACATCATTAACCATATGTTTTATCAATTTTTAATTACTCTTTACATTTTTGTATTTGATTGGCAATATGCTGATCAAAATTTTTGTGCAAAATTTGTTATGGCCTGGTGTCATACCTGCATTGTGGAGTTCAGTTTCCAGATAATTTGGTATTTATTTTTACCATACCCTTGATGTATAAATAGACACAAACAATTTTGATATTTTCTGTGTAAAAACACAGGAATATTTACCACAACGTCTCCCAGGGTTTGAGAGTTGGAACTCCAAACCCTGGGAGGCTTTTGACCAGAACCCTTGTTTATGTGGGGTCCAGACAACACATCATGAATGAATAAGTGTTGCTTAGTTGGGTTGCTGTCACCAGAAGGTGGCCAGAAATTTATTTTAAAATTAAGCAACCAGAGGGAACTTTAGTTCAAATGTGAACCTTGCTGATGGATTCAAATGTATATTCAGTTAAATATTTAGTGAATTCAAAAGAATATAAACACTTAAACCAGTAGAAATATATAAACAGCAGGGGAAGAAAGGAATTCTGACTCCTGTACTCTGCCATTGACAACAAGATCCACTTTCAAATTACTGGGACATGAAAGATAAAACAAAAGGGATATGTTTTTTTATGCTTCATAAGATTGTAGGAGATATATCTGAGATTTTGGGTTGGATGAGTTGTGATCAGGAGAAAAATCAGTGAAAGTGATAACAAACAGAGAAAGATAGGGAAGGAATGGTGTATGATTGTTTTGAACAAGTTGTTTTTTATCCTTTGATTCATTCTATTTATCTTTCAGGATTTCAGAGTTTTGAGAGAATATTTCAAAAGACACTGTTGAGGGATGATGATTCATTAGTTATTGAAGACTAAGTTTAGTCATAATAACTTACATGTTTTTATCCACTCACTCTTAATTACGTTCCTCCTTTCGAAAGACATCTAAATAAAAAGCCTGATTTGAATTTGATTTTTTAATATGTGCATAATATCCATGATTGCCACCTGGAATATCTTGACAATGTAAGAGTCTCTCTCCTTCCGCATCCCCCCATGCAGCAAAAAAAATAACTTGAGGTATATGATTCTTGATTGCCCATCCCCGAACACCGCTTCTACATAATCTGCAATCGCAGGGCTGGAGTGTTAGTATGAGCTGTGATGTTCCTAAGTGACTGTCTCCCATGATAGTGACAGTTTGCCCTGGTGCTATATGGTATTTAGTATGAACAGGCACATCTACCCAATGTACTGCAGCCAGACTCTTGACCATGAGCACAAGGAACCAAAAGAATGATGTCTTCATCACCATTTTTTCCAGGGGCCAAAATTTGATTCCCAATAACCTGAAGAATTTTTGACTAAACAAGGGAATCAACAATGGCAAGTAGTCTTTTAAATTTTCAAAACTAACCTTGGTACTTGAGAGCCACTGACAAGAGCTATGGGAGCACTTATCTGAAATGCCTATCAGGATTAGTTATAAATCCAATTCAAGTCTGGGTTGGTAGAAGAAAAAATCCAATTTAGCTATAGAGATCTATTCATACAAAAGAATCACTCACTGATTCAACACACCTCAAATAAAACCAAATTTATTATATTTGATGATTTGATGTAAGATGAAAACCCAAACAATGTAAACTTGTAGGAACCAGAAATGGAGATTTTATGAGGATCTGTGGATAGCAATGTTGGATGGCAAAACATGTTGGGTCCTTTTATTTGAAAAGCGGACTACATGGTCTGTCAAATATATCAAATACTAGCTAATGCTGAGTGAAGTTTGAAACAACATCAATCTGAAGATGCTTCAAATTTATTTCAAATTAACTTGAATAAGTGTAACCTGAAAAAACCTGATAGATGGCAGAAATGTTTCATAAATCAATCATTTATAGTATGATCATGTTACCAAGTGATGGAACTTTGATAGTAAGTCAAATCTTCAGCTAATCTATCACTGGATGTTTGCTGCAAAACTTTTAATATTAGGGACTGGTCACCTGAACATTAAACAATTTGAAACCCAATATTTTTAGGGGCAGTGATGCCTACATGCATTGTTTTACTCCTTCAACATAAATTTATGTCATAAGCTGACTTTTGACTAGAGATGGCACTTGACACCTGTTTGCAAGTACTTGTTGGGTTTTTGCATGTACCTGGGACCTGTTTTTTGGGACCAGGTTCCTGAAAAAAGGTTCTAGGTAGCTTCCACAGGTCCCATGTACATGTCAGTAGGTCATAAGTACCTACAAATATGTTCCAGGTAAATGCCAACAAGCAACAAGTACTTGCAAACAGGTGTCAAGTGCCATCTCTACTTTTGCTATTTACATAAATGTCTCACCTGAGCAATTTGCAGTAATTTCTTATCTTTTGTTACATGTTCTCTTTTTTTTGTGGCACCTGGAAATTGATTATTCTGCCAAGGCTTCCTTCTATCAGCTGTCTTGCAGTGTTTTATCTGGTTTAGAGATGGCCAATTGGACCTTGGTACCTGTGGCAGACAAGGATTCCCTCTGTGAATTTCAGGATTTTCAGACTCAGATCTATAGCAGGCACCAGCAGTACCCCCATAAGATACCATAAAGGGTAAAGGGAAGCAGGAGATGGTCCCATCCACTCCGGATGCATTACCCTGCACAATTCACAATACTGCCTGAATCTTGGACTTACACTGGCCTGGCCAATGCCAAAAGATTGGACTAATCTAGAGTTGTTCATGAAACACAAAGGAGCATATGAGTATCATCAACACTGAAACAGAGGCAAGAAATGTATTTGGTATTTGTGTTTATTGTCTCTTTTCTGAGAGAAATACCTGTTATAAGTATTTCCTTGGTTGGTGAGAAAATCCACTGTCTCGGATTTGTCTTTACCAAGCAAAAAAATATTTGTTTTTTTTGGTTGATATGGCCAAATATCTTGTGTATTGAAGACATTTTTGGTTGGATCAGCCCTCTGAGACAATACACAATTCTTGTCTCACTTTCCAAAAACAATATGTGTGTATTGTCTCAAAAAGTGAGACAAGAAAGGATTGGTATTTTTGGGTGTTCAAATTCTGAGACAATACAAATCAAAGCTGGGTATTGTCTTGTATTGCCTCTGTTTCAGTGTTGGTATCATCACTGGGTAACCTGATTATGCTACAGTGCACAACACATGTTCTTGACTACACCCCTCCTGAAAAAAAAATTGGGGTGTATTTTTGGGGGGGTTGAATTTGTGTATAACATATGTACTGTTCACTTTTAGACTCCAAAGAAGTAGTAGAATCAAAAAATATGTCACAAGTCTCTGGCATGCACCAAAAAAAGTTTGAAAATTTCAAAGTTGAAATCTTGTAACACCTACTGTATTAGGGCATATAGTATGTACTTATTGAGGGACAATATATACAATGCATAATGTAAGGGCATGATTACATAAGAAGTTAAGAAACATTCAATAGAAAAACACATGAAACATTAGGGGGTATCAAATATAACCAAATCCACCAGTGTTTAATTGACTGGTTTGAAGAAATCCACCCTTTTTTAAACATGCTAGTTCTTCATTTAACCCCTTTTGGGGCCCATTGATGTGAAAAAAGTTTTTTGGGAAAAGTGACTGGTTTCCAATTGTGGATTTCCTATATTTGATACCCCCTATTGGATTACAAGCTATCCAGCCAGGTTTTGATGCTTTTTGAAAACCTTAAGCCACCTTCAAGACATTCTCAAGCCCCAAATCCATATTTTTTCAGCCTCAAAAATTTGGATCAGGGTCCCAGGGTGTGGTTGAGAACCTGTTTTGTGCACTGTACATGGGTTTGGAGAACCTATTTTAACCAATTTGCATGAGCTTTCAATTTTCAAAAGGCTTTCTCTCTGAAACACATAGATAAGAGAAGCTCTATGTGACAAAGGTATGTAGGCAGGGTTATGATTAGAGCTAACAGAGTTACAGTAAGATTGAAAGTGTCCTGAGCAAAGCAGGAGGTAATAAAACATATTTGGCATGAGATTGGTAACATGGAAGAATTTATTTCCAGGAGATAAATAAGTATTTCTGTCAAAAGCAACAGTGGGACCCCAAACCAAAAAATCTCCATATATTTTTGAACAAATCTAAAATGTGCTTTCAAAACCACTTAAAATTTATGTATATCCAAGAGATTATCTTGTAAGGTACAATTCAGTACATCCAACTTGATTTATAATGGAAATATAAAGGATTGTAACATAAGGTTTCCAGAGATGTGTGGAATCCGGACAGAATTACAATCAACATTGGGCCAGCTACACTGACTTCAACATCAGCAAAGCGTAGTGCAGCAAAACGCCTCTAAACCTATGGATATTTTTTGTTAGCTGTTAGAGGTATCACAGTGTCACTGACAGCCATGGGAAAATTTTTGATGCTGCTATGCAGAGCTACACCCCTTTTTGGTGTTATTTTTCCACAAACAGCAGTGTAACACAGCACAGTGTTAGTGTTGCACCTCTAACGCTTCAAAATCACAAGGAGTTTTTCAGGATTGCTACACTGCCTATAGGGGGTTGTTTAGCATAGTTCAGCATAGTGGTCCACCATTGTTACAACTGACCTATTTGATTTGAATTGTGATTTGGAGGGCTCAAACTATATCACAAAAAACTACACATGTGTGGGTCCAGCAAGATGGCTTTTTTTCTTTCTGTATTCCTAAATATGTCTCAAATCCAACCCCCCTGATTAAAAGCTGCACAGTGAAGAAATTGGTAGAAAATAGGCTTACACAGGCGCCCAAGTTCGACGGCAATTTTCCCCTGAATTCACCGGAAAATTTACCCTTTTGACCCCTGCAGACATGCAGGGTCAAATGGCGGTTGAACCTATGACCAGTTTGACCGCTCAATTCATAACGGCTGTACTATTGACAAATTCGCCCCGGTAATCTGGAAAATTGTGGTAAACTGGTGTCGACCAGCAAAAAAACCACGCCGTCAAAACCCGCAACAAGGTGAGGTTCACCGGATTGCATCGGATTCCTGGTCACGGATGCGGGATCCATTCATCCGTATCTAAATCCGAGAAATCCATACTTTGCATGGACTTGGAAATTCCAGTCCGCTGGGGAAATGGTGTCGGATCACATCCTCACACCCCTCAGATTCCTCAGGTGGATGTTGTGCAATATTCAGGCGCACGATTCTCACTCTCACATTGGGGACTCAGACTGCAACAAAGTTGAACCGAGGCAAATTAATCAGAAATAAACTTTAGGCCGCATTTGGCTATTGCGTCAGGGGATTTTTCTGGTGAGAATGAGTAATGTGTAGGTAGAAACAATATTGAAGGCGGTATTTTTTGATCCAAAAGGAAATTCAAAAGAAATAAGCTTTTTGGGAACCCATGTGGCTGTTGCGCCACAGTTTTTTATTTTTTGAGTGAGCACAAGCACAAGAAAACGGAAGGCAAAAAGGTTGTAGTGTTGGGGAATTACACCGGTAGGTTCGCAAACTCAATCAAAAGGGTTGGATTGGCCATGACTTCGGTCACCACTTGACATGAGGCGGATTTCTTCTTCAACATCTTCCTCACTGGGAACTCTGATGTCTTCATGCTCAATGCAATCAAAATTCTTCTTCTGGCCAAAAAGCTTGTGGTTTTGGTTCTTAACATATTCAATTTGTTGGTCAATCAACTCCCACTGCGATATGTTCTGCGTTGGGTCTCGATGAATGAGGTGTACAACGGTATAGAGGCGCAAAAAAGCCAGGTTTGTCTTGACACTGTCAGGATAACTTTGTTGTATCTCGTCTACCGCTCTCAACTGTTTGCGCGAGGCCATGTTGTGATCGATCTGGTGGCAAAGTGTTAGAGTGGGAGTTGTGCGGGCATGTCAGATGACATAACTTACCACAACAACCAGGCCATCCAAGCTTGGAACGGCACCATCAATAGGGCGGTGATTCATTTCCTTGATGTTGTAGAGAAGCTTCGGGGCACCATTGGATCAGATTGGATAAATTTGGCAATTCAAAATTCAAAAGGCTTACTAGAGTGCGTAGAAGTCCCTTTTCACTTTTCATAAGTTTACGAATTTTTTCCACGACTGCAAGACATGCATCAATGCTCTTGGGGAATCCAGGTGGGAGGTAGTCCCGGTGAAACACAGCGTCTTGTGATTGAATGTGTGCCTAAATGAAGGCAATAGCAATCACAATTGCATTGACTGGTTATGGAGGATGAGCATCAAGCTACAGTATAACAGGGGACTGACCTTGAGCATGAGCAAAGGGGTGCGTTTGATTGGGGTTGAGTCTGATAAGGTCATGGTGCGGGTATAGGCATCAACATTCCCCTTGACCAAGATCTGACGCAGCTTGTCGCGCATGAAACACTGTGTTTGGTGGGGAGATCAACAATGAGTTACAGGGAGCCTGACAAAATTAATCTCACCTTGATATGATTTGAGAAGGTGAATGGTGTTGGCTGGCCTGATGCAACACCTGCAGAAACCACAGGAGAATCCAACTGCCCCGCAGTTGGGGTCTTTGCAAGCAAATGCACAAAGAAAAGAACATTGAGGCGCCACTTTTCGTCTTCTGTGGCCTATCATTTTTTTTTCAGGCCACATCCAAAATTTAAACATGTGTGGGGCCAATCAGTATCAGGAGAAGTTAAGATAAGGAGGAGTGGGACTCACTTGAAAGAGTTGATTGGCAAGTTGCATATTTGCCTCAGTCAGGTTCAACTGTGCTTGGACTTCGCCAATCAAACCAGCACCAATTGTCGTGAGATTGCCAGGTGTTGCCCAACGCTGCCACAGATACGGTATCTGCCCGTATCTGCCATGTATCACTATGTATCTGAGCCCCAATAAAAAAAAACTATCTGACCAATCTGCTTTTATTTGCAAGGAGATTCAACAAATTTGGTTTTTGGCCATGCAGCTTTGCAGAATTCTCCATGATACACACAGCATATCGTATCTGTGGCAGCGTTGGGTTGCCCCCCAAGTCAATGGGAGTGGATCTGGCAATCGTTTGTCATTGGATTTGGTTTGATGTTCAGAATCGTCATCACCTCCGTTGGCATTGGTTCCCAAAAAATGCTCTTGAAATGGTGGGTGATTGGTTTCATCAGGCCAGTCAAGAGTTGGGTCAATGGCTGGGACACGAGGGGAAACTTGGACACCTGCCCCCCAACCCAAGTCACTATGATCAGGAGCGTTGTTTTCAGTGACTTGGGCCCTGCGGCCGACGTCTGAGTTAGCCTGGCCGGGCTGCAACACTTGAGTTGATGCTCGGGTTTGAGAACCTTGGCCTCAGCGGGATCTGCGGGCTGGATGTACTTGTTGTCCTCAAGTGGAGCCTTGGTGGTGGGGATGAAATCAATCTGCATCAGATAAGAAACAGGTCAGAAAGAATTGCAAGTGAGAGGGGTCAAAATCCAATGCCTCACTTGAAACAGGTACATGGCCAAGGGGCAGCCGACTGCCAGCTTGGGATGCTGAAGAGGGTGGGGATCAAGTGATGTTTTGAGGTTGAGACATTGCAAACATCAAGAAAACACCTCACAACAAGTCAAAAAATTATTGAAGAGGGTGGTTGTTTGAGAGAGGGGACTTGCAAACCCGGCGCCCTTTTCACTTGCCACCCAAATTCATTCCCACTTCATCTCCTGCACGATTTGAGAGAGGCCTTCTATCAGATTGATTTTTAAGTTATCCTTGGGAGCAGCCACTCCACTCTCCCCGAACTCACCTCCAGTGCAAATTGGCACTTGGGTGGGGAAAAAGTTGCACCGGAGCCAAGCCTGTGGGTTCAAGACAAATCAAACCCACTCCCTCCAGCCTATTCAAAGGTACCCACTCAACCTGGCTGCAATTGATCTGGAGGCAACAACTGGCCACACATCAACAAACAGCATATATTGCTTGAGCCCTGGGCCTTTTAGTCTGGTACTCTTTCAGGTGATATGGATATACCAGGTCAATTGGTTTTCTTTGTGTCCTATTCAATTTCTTGAAACAGTTTTTGATTTATTTTTATCATATTGTAGGCTTCAGAATTGTGGACAGGTAACATGGCATAACCACCTATGCATGTGAGGCCTGTCCAGGAAGAACTATGTTAAATCCTATTGAACATTTGCAATCAAGAACACACCTGATCAATGCAAGTCTGGTCAACCCAAATACTGAACCATTGAACCCACATCATCACATAATTGCTACTGAAACAGGTTCAGAACCTGAAGATACTGCACTGGCATTTGAGACCATTCATATATCAACAGATAATCCTGGAGATTCTGATGATGGTGAGGTTATAGTGCCCACAAGGGAAGCAGAAGTTGCCATTTTCAATCCAAATCAAATTCAAGAGGTGGATTTTGAGGATGAGGGAAACTGGGATGATTCAATCTTTGAAGCAGTTAATCTTGCACAAAATAATTTTGCAATGGATGCATTATTAGCAAGTGAGAGTTCTTCTACAGGCAGATCAGCACATTGGTACCCATACCAAAACAGAGAGGTGATTTTAGCATCAAATTATTCAAAATATCTGGTAAAATTACTGACAGATTTTGATTGTAGGCTCTGATTGGTACACTTATGCAAGGATATATGAGAAGTTCAATTTCACGCAGCATGTATTCTCAACTGCGCCTGATTATCTCAATCACTGGGTTGCAACTCCCTCATTGGAACACTATCAGGAACACTAGTGCAACCATTTGCGGGCTATTAGGTTTTGATGTGATGGAACATCAGAGTATTTGGGACAAAAAATGCTATTCTGTGAGTATCCCACAGATCCTTGAACATGTAAGTCATTCATTTCTATTTTCCTCCTGAACCAAATACTCCATACACATGCAGATATTTTCATTTTAAAACACTCCAGTGATCCGTTATAATAATTGAACTTTTTAATTAAAAGAATTCTATCGTACAATGCTGAATCATTCTAAATGTCATTATCTAGGAGATTGCCAACCCATATGTTCACCCACATTTGGATTTCTACCCAGAGGAGAAAAATGGTCAGAATATTTATAAGTTGTCACGAAGCAAGAAATGGCGGGAGGAATTAGGACCAAGTGAACGAGTACAAATGGCTGTCAGCAATAACAAGCATTTTTAAATCTTGGAACCAACTCAATTAAAATCCGGAACAGTGGTAATTCCTCTTTACTTCTTCAAAATGAATAAGGAATTATATGCAAAATGTTCCAAGCCATTTATATCACCAACCACCAGGGACCCCAAGGTCCTGAAGATTGAATTTGCAGGATCCCTGGAGTTCACTTCTGATCAACTTCAAACAATCAAAGTTTCTGAATTTGATAATATATACTCAGAAATTATCTGGGGGAATTATGGGAAATTATCACAGGCATGCAAGTCAATTATTTGGGGTAGGTTTCACCATTTTTATCAGTTTGAAAATTTGAAAAGTCGACCTTTTTTGAGGAGCTTTACTAGAAATAGGAAATGAAACCCCACTCACATTTCCAAACAAGTGGAGATTCATAGCCAGAGGAAGAGTGATACGCCACATGCCCATCAACTTGTATTCTGACGATACATCTGGTAATATCTCCAAGCAATTTAACAAGCATGCATCCTTCTATTTCACACTTTCTGGACTTCCCCCAAATGTGGCCAACCAGGAATTCAATTGTCACTTTGTGACAACATCAAATCAGGCAGGTGTTTTGGAGTTGGCAGATAAATTAACAGATGAGATTAAGTTAGTCATCAAAACTGCACATAACAACAAAGGCTTGAACACTAACCTGCTGAAATCTTAGTGACTTGGCTACATTTGGACATGTGGCTTATGATCATGAGCTTTGTGAGGAAGTCCTCATCATGAGTGTGGTCTTATGCTTCCAGGCGGATTTGCCTATGCATGCAGAGATCACTTGCACTCACATGCCAAACGCTTCCTTGAATCCATGCCGCATGTGCAAGTTGAAAGCCCAAACTATTGAAGATAGAAAAAGCATCAGTTATATCCAGAATTTTATAAGGCGTAATACTCAAGGACACCGGGTAAATATCCACACATTTCAGTGGCTTTATTGATCAAAAAAATTGTGCTGTTTTTCTTCCAGAAAGCTGATATCATGCTTCATTTACGACCAAAGTGCAGACCATCACCAAGACTTTGGAGAGATACCAAAATGAAAGCCAAATATTTATGGAAACTTTCCAAAACTGAGCCAAAGACTCTGGTAGACAACATGATCACTGATCTGGGGGTCAAGGATAACATAAACAAATATGCTATGGATACTATGAGGGAAGGACAAGATCAAATATTGATTGGAAAAATCAAAAGATTAGATACTGAAGATGATAGAGATCAGCTTTTCAGTCCTATCATGAGGCTCAAAGGTGAGATAGTCCATCATATTATTTGATTTTTCCAATTTCATTTAAGAATTAGAAATAATTTTTTATTATATTCTTTCAGGATTTGATGGCTGCTTAGATACTCCTGTGGAGATTCTGCATGTATTCCTCCTTGGGGTTGTGAAGTACCTAACTGGTGATTTCATGAAAGGACTGAAAGCTTGTCATCTTGAAAGATTAATGGCATCCTGGGAGTCTTTCAACAAAAACTCACTCAACATTGAAACCATAAACTCCTTAAACATGGCCAAACACCATGGTAGTTTCCTTGGGAAACATTTCCGGATAGTTTTGCAAGCAGCCCCCTTTGTATTCTATCAATTTATGACAGAAGAGCAAAGGCACCTGTGGATTTCTATGTGTCAGCTTTCCACTTACATTTTCCAAACCCGGATTAATGACATGGATAAGTATTTGACCGAGCTCAATAAAAGTATTGACAATTTCATGTGGCATATTACCAAAACAACGTGTCAATGGGTGAACAAGCCAAAGCTTCATATGCTTCTTCACTTGCCAGAATGCATCCAACGATTTGGTCCAGCCACCCTCTATGCCACGGAAAAATTCAAAAGTTTCAATGGTGTTTTGAGGAATGCATCCATACACTCCAACCGTCACAGTCCAGGACAAGACATAGCCACAAAATTTGTCAATGATGCATGTTTACGATCAATTCTTTCAGGGGGCCTCCACTGGAACCACAGGACTCATGGGCGGTTTCGTGCTGATCCACAGGTTACTGCTATATTCCAGAATAATCCAGCAATACAAAACTCCCTTGGATACAACCATCTACTTGTGACACCCCAGCAACAACAAACTTGTGTTATAACTACCCCACTCCCCAAAGAACAAAAGGAAGGGGTTCCAGACTTTTTGCAAAGAATATTTTTCCACCAGTTGAAACTATTCCAACATGATGTTTTGAAGAAAGACTATTTTGTTTTGGTATGTGGTTTTCCCCCAGAAAAAAACAAAATTTACTTGATTTGATTCCACTGACCTTGATACTCAATAATTCTACCCCAGGTAAAGAAAAATACAACTGTAGGATCCACCAAAGATATTGAATGTGTTGAGTCCATATGGTCTGCAAGTTTGAAAAGCCAAACCCAATATTTCATCAAGGCCAGAAGATTTTCCCAAGGGCCCATCCATCCATTTTATCACATGAAAGAGTTGTATGCAACAAACCACATTGATTATTTTGAAGCATCTGTAAGTGTTTTGCTTTAATTTTCTTCCAAGTCAATCCAGTTTTGCTTGATTGTACTGTCATCCCAAAACTGATAAAAAAACCCGCATTCCATGCATGTCAATGCCTTCAGGATATTTGTGCATGCCTGAATGTTCAACACAATTGTCAATCTGGGAGATGCCAAGTTGCAAGGGGCTCCAGGAACAAAGGGCCCAATTATGAAGGAAATCAAACTACATTGAAGATTCGTCATAATGATAAAAAGAGTTTCATATTGAATTCAGCCTCATTGCGGGATCCTGTCACTCATCGTGAATTGGCAGGCATCAACACCCAGTACCCTCTGAACTGGGCCACTGCAATTGGAACTGGCCGGTACAGGTGGAAACACCATCCAGTCACCCAGACCCCCCAGACACGTGCAAGCAGCATTGCCCCAAGTTTGATTTAATTTTTTTGTTGGTTTCAATCCCAACTCAACTGAATGATCTATTTTTAAACATACTCCAATATATACATGAATTAAACCTCAAAATACTCCAATAAACATGCATGAATTAAACCTAAACATGTTCCAATAAATATACATGAATGAAACCTAAACATACTCAAATAAATATACATGCAGGAGATCTAAGAATAAACATAGTTGAAATTGCAGAAAGACCTGCTCAATAAATACATACATTGCCAAATATATACACTATCCAATTCCCCCAATAATAAAAAAATATAAAATACATGGCACTGTTCACATTTTGAACTTGTAGGAAAATTCACGACTGGTGTTTTGTCTCATTTTCTAACCTGTAAATCTCAATTGGTTGGTGAATTATTAACTATACAAGAAATA